TGACTGCCCCCCAAATATTTGAAGACAGCTATCTGAAGCTATCTGGGATAAGCCTATCTCATCTCTTCAACTGATCTTTACCATCCTCTGAATGCTCCTAGCTTATCAGTGTCCCTCCCAAGATGTGGTATTCATGCCACACCATATTTTCTTTTATATTCTGTGTATTTTATATACAGTGTGTTCCATTGTTTGCTTGGTAAAAAAAAAAATCCTCAAGAATTGTGAGTAGGTATAGTCAGTGCCCTAGAAATGGTGACTATATATTGAAAGGGTTTTTTGATGGCCAAGACTACTAGTAAAAAGCAAGACAAATTCTACTCAGTTCTATTATTACCCCAAATCCTAATGGTTACTGCTGAACTTGAGTGTCAATTATATCATCCTAAACAGTGTTCAGTTAAGATGGTATTCCTTTCTACTGATTACATACACACACACACACACACACACACACACACACACATACACCCTTACACACACTTACACATGTGTTCACCAGCACAGTAGAAAGAAAAGAACACTGGATGTGAATTTGGAGAACTTGGATATGAATCCAAGCTCTGGCACTCATTACCTATGTAACCTGAGGCAAGTCACATCATCATCATCATCATCATTATATGTGATACATAATAATTTTATGCATTAAAGAATAATAAAATCATAGCTAATACTTACGTAGCACGTTAAGGTTTGTAAAATATTTCACATAGATTATTTCATTAGATCCTCACAGCAGCTATGCAGTGGAGGTGCCATAATTATCCCCATTTTACAGATGAGGAGACTGAGGATGGGAGAGTTTAAGTGGCTTGCCTAGGGTCACTTAACTAGTAAGGCCAAATTCTAACTCATGTACTCCTGACTTTAAGTCTGGCATGCAATTTGCTTTGCCACCTAGATGCTTTAATCACCTTGTGCCTCAGTTTCCTCATCTGAAAAAATGAAAGAATTGAATTAGGTGATTCCTAAAGTCTTTTCTAGTCCCAAATCCTATGTTCCTACCCTCATTTAGCCTGGAGAAGGGAAGATTTGGTGGTGGGGAAGGGAGTTTGGAGGGAATGGGAGCAGTGGGAACAGTAGCTCTCTTCAGAAGTTTTAAAGGCTCTCACATAGAAGAACTCACAGATGGGTTTTGTGCGAATCCAGAGGGAAAAACTAGGACCAAAGGGCAAACGTTATAGGGGAATGTACTTTCACTCAAAATATAGGGAAAAATTTCCTAACAATTGAAGTAGATCCTGCATAGAACGTCCACCTTGTGAAGGGATAGGTTGTTTGTTATTAGAACTATTCAAGCAGAGGCTCAACTGTCTGTCAGGGATGTTGTAGAAATGGCTCAGTTAGATGACCCTTCCCACAGTCCCCTCTACTTAAGATTATCTCTACTCCTTATCCATGCACCCTACCTGCGGACTGAAAAGAAACATAAAGCAATAAAATACACACAACATTAAAACTACCTCAGAACTACCTCAGACAAAACTGAATCACTTTGATGATTCAGAAGGTGCTTTAAGATCTGGCAGGGTTGTACCGCTGTCATTATAAGTGGGAGGGATCATTGCACTGGCAAAGGACAGACATACTAGGAAAGAGGGATTTCTTATTGATAGAGTGCTTAGAGAGCCCAATTTTTCTGTATCTACCACTATGCAAGATGTAATACAGTATCCTCCAAGGAGCCTTGATGAGGATAAAATACCTGCCCTGCTGAATTCCCAGGGGATCTGGGAGGCTCAAGTAAAATCATTTAACTCAAGCACTTTGCAAACCACATGGCAGCTTAGATTGCTGTCATCCATCCATCCAGTGACCTAAGATTGTAGAAAACTAAATGTCTCCATTCCCTGAATCGTTCATTTGCTCCAAAACAAATCTATTGAAAATTGCATAAAGTGTCCCCAGTACAAAGCTATTAAAAGAAGAAAAAACAAACACCCTTTAATATATTTATCCTGTAGCCCTCCGGGTGACTCCTCCAGGTTAATTGTCTTATAAATAGAGAAGCCTTCATGACTTCTATAAAGCTTCTGTATTATATTCATAATCTCAGTATAATTCATTTTTGGCCGAACTTCATTGTTTTATCCTTCATGTATTAATTCTACCTTCTTCCTTACTTCCTCCCTTCCTTCCTGCTCTTTCTTCTTCCTTCCATTTTCTCTTTTTATTCCTTCCTTAGTCCTTCCCTCTCTTCCTTCTTCTCTTCCTTTCTTCCTTTCTCCCTAAGCCCTTCCTTTGTTCTTTCATTGTTCTCCCTTTTCTTCCTTCTTTCCTTCCTTCCTTCTTTCATTTTTCTCCTTCCCACCCTCCTTCCATTCTCTCCCTCTGTCTTTTTCTTATTCTTTCCTTCTTTCCTCTCTAGCCCTTCCCTATGTCCATCTCTCCATTCCTTCTTTCTCACTTCCTTCCTCCCCCCTCCTTTTCTCCCTCCCTTCTTTCCTATCTTCCTTCCTTTCTCCTTCCTTCTTCCTCATTTTTATTTCTTATCTCTTTTTCTTCCTCTTTTCCCTCTGTCCTTCCCTCTTCAGCCTTTCCCTCTCTTTCTCTCTCTCTTTCTTCCATTCATTTCTCTCTTCCCTCCTTCCTCTCTCCCTTCCTTTACTTTGTCTTCTCTCTTTTCATACATCTTTAAAAATAGCCCTAAAGGTTGCTTTGCTTTGAATGATGTCAGCATCCCTGGTTGCCAAGTTCTCATGGCCTTCATCAATAGAATGTGCAGTGACACTTTCGCCTTCTGCTTCTACCATCTTTGACCTTGTACAGTAATCATTGCATCAAACAACGAATGTTTGATGCCGGGGAGAATCACTGACTGACTCATACGTTTGGATATACGCACATTGCTCCACCGGTGTTCTTTTTTCCTTACCCCTGCCTGACTCAGAAGGCTTTGGAGAAGGAAAGGATTTGAAAGCATTTCACAGTTATATTTGTTTCATTCTGAGTATCCAGATATTATCGCAGGAAGTAGAGCTGAGAAACTAGAGCTTGTCTAGTCCCATCTGGTCATTTTACAGATGAGGAAACCGAGGCCCAGACTGAAGCAAAGTGACTTTCCCAAAGTCACAAACATAAATACCTTCCCCAAAGATTTTTCTTCTTCCCTTCTGCCTGAATGATCTGTGAATAATAGTATACTTTAACATTTTCAATCTACTATGAGCTCTATACACCTAAGAAAGGTTCAATGACCTTCCTGGTGTCCCACAGCTAATTAGTTTCTAAGGCAGGACTTGAATTCAGGTCTTCCTGGCTCTTAGTCCAGTTCAGCACTCTGTCTACTGCACCACCGAAGTTCCCTCTGAACTTCTCAGCACGTAAGTTATCCCCCTGAATATCTGAAGGGCTGTCATATGGAAGAGACCTTGGAGCGGTTCTGCTTGGTCCGAGGGAGAAGAATTAAGAGAAGTGGAGGGAAGTCTGAAGGGGACATATTTTAGCTTACACTAAAGAAATGTTTCTGACCAATCAGAGATCTCTAAAGCAGGATGAACATTCTAGATAAACAGTTTGTTATCAGTAGTGATCTTTGCCAGATGAGCACCTCAATATAACTCAAGGAATACTTATTAAGTGCCTATCGTGTAAACCACGGTGCAAGCTGCTGGGACTACGAAGACAAAAATAAAAAATAAAACTCTGCTTGCCTGCAAGGAGTTTTCATTCTACTGGAAAGGTATGGTCTATATGCAGATAAGACATAGGGGCGTGTAAATGTTATCTTCAAGTATATTAAGTGCTCTCATGTGAAATTATAATAATAATTGACATTTACAAAGAAGGACAATAATAAAGGTTTTGTTTTTTAAAGATAAATTCCAGAGCATGATCTGAAGTCAGTCTAGATTCAGACCAATACATAATACAAGTATCAGAAGGTGTTTCTCTCTTTCTTTTGATGACCTTAGTCATAGTCCTCATAATTCAGGGCATGTGCAAAACGAAGTTAACGTCATCCAAAAGCTCCTCTTTCCCTTCCCATCTTCTCCATCAATGAGTCAAATAAACATTTATTAAGTATCTGTTATGTGCTAGACATCTTGCTAAGTGCTAGGCATAGAAAGAAAAGCAGAAAACACAATACCTGGCTTCAACAAGCTCACAGTCAAAATGCAAACCACCATGTATATACAAGATGCATATAGTGTACATGGTAGCCAGGAGGCACAGTGAATGGAGTGTGAGGCTTGGTGTCAGGAACACCTGAGATGAAATCCTGCCTCAGCTAAGTATATGAGCTTACTAGCTGTTTGATACTGGGCAAGTCAGCTTAATTTATGCCTGCCTTAGTTTCCTCATCTGTAAAATGGAAATAATAATAACACCTACCTTCCACAGTTGTTGTGAAGATCAAATGACATAGTATTTGTAAAGCACCTTGCAAACCTTCAAATGCTGCATAAATTCGAGCTGTTACTAAATTCGGCTAAGTTCAGAGGAAAGGATGGAAGAGACTGGGGAAAGCCTCATTCTTTTTCCCTATCTCATCATCTTATGGTCTTTCCTGCCTCCCCTTCTTTCTCTTTTCTCTCTGATGAAGAGAACAACATTGAGAAAAAAACTATTCAGAGAGGCAGTGTGGTACAGTGGAAAGGGCTTTGGATTTGAAATTGGGTAAGAACTGAGTTCAGATTCCTGCTCCAATACTCCTTAGCTAAGATGATACTAAGCAAATCATTTATCCTGTCTAAGTCTCAGTTTCCTCATCTGTGCAATGGGCATAAAAATGCTTGTACTCCATGGACTTTTATGAAAAAGTATTACAGACATTTGAATGAGGGCCCTGCCCATACATCAAACTGTTTTTTTGTGCCTTTACCTTATTACACTCAACCTATTTTCCTTTCTTTTTCCCTGTTTTCAGTTTTCCCATCTTCTGACAGAAACTCTGTAGCTTGTTCTAAATGGAAGGTAGGGGAGTGGTTGGTCTTAGCAACGGGAACTGTTCTAACCTATGGTCACCTTTTCTTTCCCTCTTCCTTTCCTTACAGAAAAGAACAGTTGGAGGCAGCGGCCAGGTAAGTGTTCCTTGTTGCTCAATTTCTTCAAGTCAAATTAACAAGCATTTATTAAGTACCTACTGTGTGCCAGGCACTATGCTAACTACTGGGGATACAAATAAAAGCAAAAGAGGGTCCATGCCCTCAAGGAGCTCTCAGTCTAATGGGGAGACAACATGCAAACAATTAGGTACAAACAAGGTATAGACAGAATAAATTATAGATAACTTCATGAGGAAGGCACTACCATTGAGGGGAATCATGAAACATTTACTTGCTTTCTTCCTCCCTCCTTCCCTGCCTTTCTTCTTTCCTCCCTCCCTCCCTCCCTTCCTGCCTTCTTTCCTTCCCTCCCTCCCTCCCTTCCTCCGTCCCTCCCTCCCTTTCTTCTTCCCTCCCTCCCTTCTTTCTTCCCTTTCCTTCCCTTTTTCCCTCCCTCCCTCCTTTCATTCCTCCCTCTCTTCCTCTCTCCCTCTTTCCCTCCTTCCCTCCCTCCCTCCTTTTCTTCCTTCCCTCTTTCCTTCCTCCCTCCTTCCTTCCTCCTTTTTCCTTCCCTCCTTCCCTTCATTCCTTCCTCCCTCCTTCCCTCCCTCCCTTCCTTCCTTCCTTCCATGACATCAGGGCCCCAAGTCACCAAGATCCCGCCTACAGGCTAACATACTACAGCCAAAGATTGTTCGCATGGAATTGTTAGCTAGCAGATTTTGCTGGCTTGAGCGCTTACTCTGCCATTTTGTGTTGGCTCCCCTTGTGCTATCAAATGTCAATTAATGAGCTATATTTAGAAGGAGATTTAGGAACATTTTGTTTCCTTGTATAATGTTTTTTATTCAAGGTTCCCAGAGTGTGAAACAAACACATTCATAATACAAATTATTTATATAGATAAACAATGCATATATTTCTACATATCAAGTGATTAAAATTGCGTGCATGAATATGTGAAGAATAGAGAACTTCCTGTGCGGGAATTCCCTCTAACAACATAGATGGTGACCTGTCTCTAACTTAATAAGTCCTAAGGTATTGCTTTGAGCATCTAGAGGTTAAGTAACATTCTTAGTGTCATGGAGCTAATAAGTGTCAGAAGCAGGATTTGAATCCAGCCTTCCTTCTTCCAAACAGTATACTGTATGCCATGACATACCACTTCTAAAATCTATATAGATTTATATATATATATATATATAATTGGTTACTAAGCAATTCTCTGTAAATAATAGCTGTCTTTTAAACCAAGTTATGAAGTCCTTCATCCTTCAGCACTAGGGACCTCCAGAATCTTAGTCTGGCACTCAAAGCTCTTGTTCTCTTGAAGGGAGAAGATTCACATCTTGGGATACCAAGCTCTTCTCAAAAACAGCATAAGCCCTGGGCTTCTCCAAATTACACATACTCATCACCTTCTACAAAGATTTCATAACTAGATATACAGATAAAGCATTCATTAAGCACTTCCTGTATGCCTGGGAAGTAACTGAGAATACTCCAACATGGTTATATCTGTCTACTGTCCAAACCCAAGAGATAAGTCGATCAGTACAAACAAAGATGGGAAGGATAATAGAAAGAGAAGCCCAATCACAAGCCTTGCACTAAATAGCCCCTTCTCTCAACCCTTAGTTACACCTAGGGGGTGGCAGATAATGGAGCCACAAATTTACATACTTTTTAAAACAACCAGTTTAAAAAGTACTGAGAGATTACAAAGACACCAGCATTTTTATAGAGCTGTTCTTTAAAAGAAACTATCACTTTTTGGCAGAGTTCCCTTTACCAGCTTCAGGAAACAATATGGCAGAGTCTAGCAACAAAACATTTTCAATATTGTGTGGAAAGCAAATAATGATTTTTGGGCAGAAACTGGTGATGTTTTATTAGGTTTGAATGGATTTCTAGCTGGTTTTGAAGGACCTAGAAGAAACATGTCTAAGAAGAAGGTTAAGCCATATAACTAATAAATCACAACTAATTAAAGTGAGGAGAGGTATCATATTGAATTTCAAGAATTTTTTAATTCCTGTGATATTGGTTTTCACAAACCATAAGCTCAGTATGAGTCAGTTGGGTGTCCTGGAAGCTGCCAAAGCTGATATAATCTTAGGCTTCAAGTACAATGCTTAGAATAAAGGACATAATATTCTTGCCATAGTCTAATCAGACGACCTTTGGAATATTGTATCTGTTCTAAGCATCAGATTTTAGGAAGGGCATTGTATAGATGAACAGAGTCAAAAAGAAAATTAACATTGATCCTAATTGTCCTCAGCCTGCTGTCACATGAGGTTTGGTTGAATGAAGCAGGGAGTGTCTCATCCAAGGAAGAGAAAACTTAAGTGGGAAATGAACACTTTCCTCAAATATTTAAGAATTATCAAGTGGAAGAGGAATTTGATTTGTTTTGTTTGGTCCCAGAAGGGAGAACTGGAAGGGAAATGCAAAAAGACAAATCTAGGCTTTAAGAAAGCAAAAGATTGCGGCAGCTAGGTGGCACAGTAGATAGAGCATTGGCCCTGAGGTCAAGAGGACCTGAGTCCAAATCTGGCCTCAGACACATAACACTTACTGGCTGTGTGACCCGGGCAAGTCACTTAACCCCATAGCCTAGCTGCACCCCCCAAAAAAAAGAAAGAAAGAAAAGAGAGCAAAAGATTCCTTCCTGGCAATTAGAACTATTCAAAAATGGAGTGAGCAGTGTCCGAAGTCATGAATTCTCTTAAATTACAGTGATCATTTGAAGTCATAGAGGGGATTGTTGTTAATGTTGTTGTTTAGTTGTTTTCAGTCAAGTCTGACTCTTCATGACCCTATTTGAGGTAGGCTAGGCAGATGTTATCTCCAACTTTCCAATGAGGAAATAGGTTTAGGGAAACTACGATTTGCCACAGACCACTTGGTGAATATGTGTGAGCAGTAATTAGAATCCATATCTTCTGACTCCAAGGCCTGCATCTTTTGTGACATTTGGGGACCTGATGAAAACATTAGAGGACTAGTAATGTCTTTGAATAGCTTTCCAATGGAAAGTTGTATTTCTTTCTGATTTAATTTTTCCAAAGACATAAATTGAAACATCTTTATAGTAGGGACCACTGTCTCAATTAAGACCTGGAACTAGTCAAGGTTACTTTATAATGAGATCCCCTGGGTAGTTTAGTTTCCAAATTCCCTTGGATGGAGTCCCTAATGACCCATTGTATACTGAATTCTCATCTGTAGCAAATAGTGCAATATTCAATAGTGTGAAATCCAACCCAGATTTTATGTCCACCCTGCATAATCTGGATGTTGGATATCAAGTTGTTTCTTTCCTAGACATTGAATGCTTAACCTCCACTAAAGGAAATTCCAAGGTAAGGCTGAACAAAGAACAATCCACCCTCAACCAAATCCTCATTCATTTAAGGTGCTCATTAGTCCCCATGGGATTAGCAGCTTGGATAATATCTAATTAAAGTCAAACAAAATATATTTAAAGCAATTTCTGAGTTTTTTTAATAATAGCTAGCACTTATTCTTGATAAAAGCTAGCACTTTGGGGTTTGAAAAGCACTTTATAAATATCTTGTTTTATCCTCACAATAACCTTAGGAAGTAGGGACTGTTATTATCTCCATTTTTACAGATAAGAAAACTGAGATATAGATTGAATGACTTGCCCACAGTCACAAAGCTAGTAAGTGTCTGAAGCTGAATTTGAAATTAGGTCTTCTGACTCCAGGTCTGTTGTTTTACTTACTGCATCACATAGTTGCCCCTTGTTCTGCTTCAATAATTTAAAAGATTCATGATTTCACCTTAATGGGCACTCCTTTCTCTAATGTAGATCACAATCAGTCCACATCTTAGCAGTTTCATGAACCTATGACCAAAAAATTCCTGGTGGCCAAACCTCTCCACACTTAACTGATATTGTCCATCACCAGGCCTGTATTTGAATCTCTCTTTCTCTCTCTCTCTCTATTTCTCTTTCTCTCTCTCTCTCTCTCTCTCTCTCTCTCTCTCTCTCTCTCTCACACACACACACACACACACACACACACACACACACAACTAGAAGTCACCTTTCAAGGTCATCAGGTCTATTCTCCTTATTTTGCAGATGAAGACACTGAGGCCAGAGATGATAAATAACATCCCCAAGGCCACATAAGTAGTGAGTGCCATAACTGAGATTTGACTTCATGTCCTAAGACTCCAAAACTAGGGCTCTTTCCACTACACCAACTTAGTATTATCTACAGAAATTTATCTTCTACTGACAGAACAGAGCCTTCAAAAATCCAAGTTCATCTCTATGTCATGATAAGGCATCAGAAAAGAATTTTAGCGCTAAGAGTATTAAGCAAAATGTTTAGTAGTGGAAAAGTAGGCTCTCTAAGATCATGTCATGGAGACATGGAAGCCCACTTCAAGTGAACACATTTGGGGGTGGGGAGAGGGCATTGCCGTCTGCTTTGGTAAAGTCCCAGAGTCATTTGCTGGTGACTCACAAACTGGATACTGGGAGAAGAAGGAATATTCCTTGAACTTTTCTCATATCAGGTTACCAAGTGGATGCTATGTTCAGACGACCTATAGATGATAGAGAAATAATGATGTAGATGGCATTTTCAGGAGCTAGGCTATGAAAGTGAAGAAAGAACTATAGGATTGTAGTTTGAACAAATGATAGGATCAAGTGAAAAAGTTGTTGATTTGTTTTAAAGGGTAATGTGTGGACATGTTTGCAGACATTTTTAAAAAGATCAAACATTGGGCCTTGAACACTGTTATTGGTGACTGCATGTCCTTCCTTTGCCCTCACCATTACCTTCTGCCCCTAATGTTCACAGAACCCATATAGAGATAAGGGGTTTTGAAAAAGATAGCACTGAACTCAAATGTTTAAAAAAAAAAAGCACTTTGCTACTAGGGTTTCCACCAGGAGAATCCCATTGTCCTACTTTTCTGAGTATTTATGAACATACTACTGTAATTTGCTTTCTTTCTTTATGATATCAGCTAGCATTTATTAA